GAGGGAGAGTTGGATGAATGGACCAGCCAACCAGTACACGTGTGGACATGTCACCTTGGTTTAGGGGTGGCAGCTTTGTAGAGAGTTGCTGGGGTGATCCGTGAGCTACGAGCTCTGAGGACAAATGAACATGTCAGTGTGACGCGGTCTAGGTCCACCCGCAAGGGAGCCCGGCCTCCATGTCCTGCCTGCCCGGTCAGTGCTGCCATGCCCAAAGCCTGATGACTTCCCATGGCCTTTCGGCCACTGGGGTCTGGACACCAGGGTTTTCTGTGGCTGTGGCTACCCCTGCCCCCACATCCTGCCAGGCGCACCTCCCAGACGGATATACTTAGCAGGTGTTCTCCCCACATTAATAACCAGAAGTGACACGTTCTAAATGAGGCCCGCCTTGTTGTGCAGGGCGGCTCTGATGGATATGCCGGGAACTGACGGCCCCTGAGAAATGTTTCTGCCATTCCCAGCACTTCTCTGACAGGTTTTTAATAGTCCCACTAAAACTGCAGCATATCGGGAAATTTTGTAATGAGGTGCAAAGGGCCGCTCCAACTCAGGGGCTCTGGGGTGGAAAAATACAGTTTGGGGAAGACTCACCTCCTCCCACAGTGGAGCTCCCAGAAGAAGCCCATCCAGGATCGGGGTTGGCCTGAGAGTGGGGGCGGTTTGGCCAAAGTGTGGCTTCGAGGAGGCCTGGGTGGGGTCGTGGCCACCACTAGGCAACAGTTCCCGTGAGCTACGAATGAAGCCCCGGGCTCACCCAGGAATGGAGCCCGGATTAAGATGCCAGATTAGAGAGGCAGAGGATGGATTCCTTTCTTGTTCATTTACTCAGGAAGTACTTATTTAGCTCCAGCTCATACATCACAAGGGTGAATTAGCCTCCAAAGTGCAAAGTTCTATTAACTAATGTCTGGCCTGGGGCTATGTATGTAAATGTGGATTCTGAGCCCCCTCCTCTCACCTCCAAAGTGAGACTATCAATGCCTGTTCTTCAGAACTGTATCTGAGGGCTGGAGATAAAAAGTGTAAGGATCAGCACGGGTCAGGTCCCTGCCGGAAGCCGATGACACACACAGATGGGGGAATTGAGAAGGGCTTAAAAATGGAATTATTTATCAAAGAGCCAAGGGAAACACATAAGAAAAGGCCCAGCACCCTGGGGCTGGCAGGAGTGGGGAGCGGTGGCCACTCTAAGAAGGGGGGTTACCAGAACCCTGGGCCGTGGGACAGGTGGCCCGTGGTGGTGTGACCTTCAGCAAGGGCCAACCCCTGTTCCAGCAGAAGCCGTCAAGACAGGAGTGACCCTCTCTCTAGGGTTCTCCTGTCCTGGTGATGCCCCTGACCCAGCTCTGTGGGGAAGGGGACCCACCAATACGGTGCATACATGTCCACCTGTCAGGCTGCCCAGCAGATGGAGAAGGCTGCAGTGTGGCTCCTGCAGGGACAGATGGGGGGTCTGTCCAGCACAGGGCCAGGCTTTCAGTGAGGCAGTGAATGGCCATGACCGTGGTCTGAGGAGCTCACAGCCCCACAGGATCAAGGGGACGCCTGGTGTTATTCCCACATGACGCAGTCTGGCCCCTGGTGTGTAAAAGCCGACCAGCCTCCCCTTATGGCCACCCAAGGGGAACAGATAAGAAAAGGTCCGGCACCCTGGGGCTGGCAACGTCCATTTGTGCTGCTATAACAAAATACCTGAGACTGGGTGATTTAGAGGGAACAGAAAGTTCTTTTTGTGTCATCTCAGGGATGCTTCTGGTGTCTGGAGTGGAACTTCCTGCGGCACCCTGGCTTGGTGGCAGGAGTGTAAAGGGAAGGACGGCTGGGGGCTGTGTCCTCACCTGACAGGAAAGATGAAGAGCAGAGAGGGCCAGAGCTCATTCCTTCCAGCCTCTTATAGAACTAGTCCATGGTCACTTCCCCAAAGGCTCCCCTCTGACCCTCACCTCCGTGGGGATTTAGCTTGAGCGTGAATATGGAGGGGACGCCATCAAAGAGCAGAGTCGAACAGGTGACAAACATGAGGCCCTCGCAGGGAATCCAGTACCCTGGCTTCATTAGGAAATTGGGTCCTTGCCAGGGACAGATGTGGAGAGATGGAGCTGGCAGTTCAGGAACCTGGTGAGACCTGGGGTCAAGTTTCCCTAATCAGCACGGAGGTGGCCGCTGGGTCCTTGACCTCAGCCTGGCTCGGCCCCCCGAGAGCCTCACGTCAGGCCTCCCCACGGGGGCCCACTGCTCCTCCCCAACCTGCTTTCTCAGCCTCATGGGGTCATTCTTCCAAGAGGTCAGCCTTTCCTGCCACAGGAGGGGCCGAAGCCCCAGGAAGAGATGAAAGAAGTGTCTTTCCAAAGCCAGGGGAAGCTGCACGTGTCTCTGCATTCCACCTGCAGGCCCCCGCCACGGCCCAGCAGGTGACCAGGCCTCATGCAGCCCACCCAGGTCCAAATCAGGGTCCTCGTCACTCTCTGGGTGATGGGCATGATCACTTACTTGCTCTGAGCCCCATGGTATCCCGTGGCAGGCAGACAGTGATGGGGTGGGCAGTGGGACCATCAGGACCACCTGCTCCTTCCCTTCCTGCGTCTGTGACATGGGTCACTTCCTCTTCAGCCTTTGGTTGGAAGCTGTAACCATCTAAGAATTTCTAGCATTTCCTTCACTGATGTGCCGTATCCTGGGGAAGCCATAGTGCTGGGACCCCCTGTGACCTGGCTTCCTCCCGGGTCATCTCAGAAAGCTCTCTGACCGTCACAGTGGAGCTGGGCTTCTGGGCTAATTCCACTCACTATTAAAATGGGTCATCACGGGGCACATTTGCACAACCAGGAAATCAATTGGGTGCAAACCAGCTTGCTAATAGGGCTCATTACAGCCTTGTTATAACTTAATGGCACAGGTAGCCTCACAAGTGTATGCCTAGGGTGAACAGAGAGAGAAGGGGTGTCTCAAAACAGGGATGCTTCCGGAATGCCTGGCTTCTGAAGGGGAGGGAGTCCGTAAGAGTTGAGCCCGACCAGCACCCCTCAGACTTGATCGCGTCGGCCAGCCGGGGCATCCTGCCGTGCAGACTCTTGTTGAGCTGCTCTGGGCTGGGGCTGGTGATTTTGCATCTCTCGGAGGCTGGTGTTGCTAGTCTGAACGATGCTTTGAGTTCTCTGGGGAGTAAGGAGCTGCACCACTCCACCCTTCCAGGGTGAGACCAGCCCAAGACAGAGCAGCCAGCCGTAGCACCACGCCTCAAACCTGTCGACAAACACCCTCTCTGGGCTTCTCCAACCCATTTCTTTTCAGTCTCCCTCCATTTGCTCTGTCTCCTGAGCACCTACCAGGCCTGCAGGCGTCGCACCTGTGTCTTGGATGGGATGGGTTGTGCCGCAAGTCGGGACCTAGCCCCCAGTGTGTCAGGATGTGGCCATATTTGGAGAGAAGGTCTTTAAGGGGTAATTAAGTTACTACACAGTCACTAGCATGGCTGCTGATCCAAGATGACTTCTACCTTTATAAGAAGGGACGAGGACACAGAGGGAAGTCCGTGTGAGGACACAGGGAGAAGACAACATCTAGAGCCAGGAAGAGCGGCCTCAGAAAAACCAGTCCTGATGAGACTCCATCTGGGACTTCTAGATTCCAGAAAAGACATTTTTTCTTTCCAAGTTGCCCAGTCTGAGGAGCAGACAGATCTGCTCAGCTCTCACACACCTCTACTTCTGCCCTGCGGTGTTGGTGGCACCTGTGACGGGACTCTCAGAGATGGATGACACCCTTGCTGGGTTGATCCAGCCCAGGGAACCCCGGATCGGCCCTGCTCTTCTCCCTTCAGCATAGCTGGATCCACAAGAAAGGAGTCCACAAGGATTTACCCATATTCCCTCTCCCTGAGGGAGGCCTCCTGGACACCTTGTTCAATGCTGAGGCTCACTGTTGGTGTCTTCCTGAATTCTGTGTGTGTGTGTGTGCGCGTGTGTGCGTGTGTGCGTGTGCAAAATGGGGTGGCCTTAAAGAACCAGGTTGTGCTCAAGAGGGAATCTTCTCTCCTTTAGGAAAAAACAACGTACTAAGGTATAATTTCACACCCAGAAAACTTCCCATACGCAAAAAGTAGAATTTGATCAGTATTGAAATCTGTGTAGACCCGCAAAATTGCCACCTCAGTCAAGATAATAAAAATACGCATTCCTCAAGGATTCTTTGAAATCTCCCAGCTCTTCCCACCTCCGCAGGCAACCAGTTCTGCTTTCCACCCTGTAGACTGGTTTGCATTTTCTAGAATTTTATAAAACTGGAATCATATGGGATACACCATCTTAAATATTATTGAGATGTGTGTGACCTACTGTACTATTTACCTGCTGGTCATGTAGGGTGCAGTGTGGTTAGTAAGCCATGGAGTTATGCAGTCATTACCACAGTCCTGTTTCAGCACTTGTCCATCACCCCAAACTACATTCACAGTGTTTGTGCCCTTACTTTCCAGCTCCCAGAAACTCCTGAAGTTCCAAGAAATGACTGATCTGATATCTCAGTCTTTGATATCGAAGTCCTTTGCTGGACATTTCATGTAAATTGAGTTAAAAGGACTCAACAAGTATAGGCTCTTGAGTCTCACTATAGTGGTTTTCAGGGTCACCCAGGTGGTTGCACTTAATAGCATTTCATTTTTGATTGCTGAGTAGTAGTCCACATCTTGTTCATCCAAACACGGATGGGCCCTTGATTCATATCCAGTTCGGGGCCATTACGGCTAATGCTGATGTGAACGGCTGGGTACAAATCCCATGTCTATTGAGTAAGTGGCTAGGAGTAGAAGGGCTGGATTATTTATAGGTGATGTTTATCTTGCCTCACTGAGGCTGTAGTTCACTGAGTTCTACTCCTGGTTCTGTCCCCAGCATCTTGGGGAAAAAGAAAAAAGAAATTACTGTTTTCCAAAGAGGTTGAACCATTGTACATTTCCACCAGAAGCGTACAGAAGTCCTAACTCTTTACATGGTCAGCAACATTTGTTAGGGCCAGTGTTTTCAATTTTAGGCATTCTAATGGGGGGTGTATCCCTGTCTCTTCTGGCTTTGATTTGCATTTCTGTGATGACTAGTGATGTTGGACATACTGTACGTGGTCATTCACCAAGTACAGTATGCTCTTTGGTAAACTTTCCATTCAAAATTTTGCCCAATTTTTCATTTGGTTTATCAATTTTCTAACCATTTAGACGTGTTTATTGTGGGGAAATACAAAGGACATACACTCTACCATCTGAGCCATCTTTGAGCATACAGTCCATTTCATTGAGAACATTCACACTATTGTGCGACCGCCAGCACCATCCATCTGCAGAACCTCTTCATTACCTAATCCTAACTCCATAACCAAGAGGTAGTCACTGTTGATCACTCCTCCCCAACCCCCTGGCTACTGCTAACTTACTGCCTATTTCTATGTGATATATCCATCCAATAGAATATTATTCGGGCATAAAAAGAATGGAGCACTAATACAGGCTGCAGTGCGGATGACCTTGAGCACATTGTGCTCAGTGAAACAGAAGCAGGACTCAGAAGGCCACATGTTGTAGGAGTGCATTTCTATTAGATATCCAGATTAGGCACGTCTTGTCATTGAACTTAAGTGTTCTCTACATAACAGAGATCCTTTATCAGATATGTGGTGCGCAAATAGTTTCTCCACCTTGCAGAGTTTTAAATGAATCAATATGTCAAGTACTTGGCAGAGTATCTGTATTTTAGTCAGCTTCACGTTGCTGTAACCAAAAGACCCGACAAGAACAACAGGAGGAAGAGTTTATTTTGTCTTGGAGTTTCAGAGGTGTAGTCCATGGATAGCTGACTCCATGGCTCTTAACTTGAGATAAGGCAGAACCTCATGGTGGCAGGATATGGGGCGGGAAATCTGCTCAGTTCATGACATCTAAAAAGAAGAATAAGAAGGAGAGAGAGGTGCCAGAGACTAAATATAAACCCCAGAGGTACCTTCCCAGGGACCTACTTCTTCTAGCATACCCTGCCTGTCTACATTTACCACTCAGTTAATTCATTCAAGTGGATTAATCCACCAGTTAGGTTACAGCTCTCATCATGTAATCATTTCACCTCTGAAAATTCTTGCATTGTCTCACATGTGAGTTTTCAGGTAACATCTTATATCCAAACTATCACATGCTGCACCGGGCTCTCCAAACTCATGCCTATCTCAAAATCCAGAATACATTTAGCCCCTTTCCAAGAATCCCTATAATCCAGTGGTCCCAGGATTGCCAAAAGTCCAAGTCCAAAATCTCATCCAAGACTCAAGGCAAACTGTTAGCTGTGGTTCCCTGTAAAGATGAAAAGCAAGTTGTACATATCCAATATATAATGGCACATAGAAAACATTTCCATTCCAAAAGGGAGAAATCGGGGCAAAGAAAGAAGGGATGAGACAAAAGACCCAAATCAGCTGGACAAACAAGTCCTAAAGATCCATGTCCAGCATCTGGGGCCCATGGCATAGTGATGTTCTCTCCAAGGGGATTATCTATCTCCACCGCTATGGCCTTGCTGGTTGCAACCCACATGGCCTCTCTCTTTGCTTGATTCTGCTGAGTTACTGCAGCTTCCCTTGGCAGACATTCTATGTTACTGGCATCTCCTAATTGTGGGGAGCCTCAGTTTCCATCTCATATCTTTACATATTGTTCTCTCAGGGGTATTCCTCAGGGATTCTCACTCTGTTACACTTTGCCAGGCCTCCCAGGTCCTTCTTTGAAATCTCAGTGAAAACCTGCATGAGCCTCTATTCTAGCATCCTACATTTATTCAAAACCAGTACCACATGGACAACAATAAGATTTTCTACTATCTCAAGCCATAGCCTGGACTGCTAAGATCAAGGCTGCAGCAGCTTCTGAGTATCCAACTTCCTAGGCTCCCCCATGCAAACAGCATACCCCCATGGTCTGTCTCTTCAAAGTTTTTACTTTTATACCCTTAAGTCTGTGATGGGTGTGGTCTTGCCAATTCTGAGATGCCCTCAAGCCGTGTTTCCTGTTGTTTCTGTGTAAAATACTTAGCATCTCTTTGGTGGCTATAACCTCTTCAATTACCACAACTTCCTTGGCCCCAGTTTTACTCACCCATTTATAGACAAATTGCAAGTCTTTCAAATCTTCTCCTCCTCTGCTGTTTGCTACCAAAAGCAGAGTACTAAATGCTACAGTAAACTTGGTTAGAAGCCACCAGCAATAGCCATGTCACCAACTGAATGCTGTACTGCCTTGAAGTTTTCTCCACAAGATCAATCAATACATCACCTTTAAATTCAACTTCATAGAAAGCAGCATGACACAGAAAAAATACAAATTCTTCGTCAGAATGTAACATGAATGACCTCTAACCCAACTTCCAATAGAGTCGTCCTCCTCTGAAACATTATGAGCCTAGTCTTTACTGTCCACAGTCCTACTGGCATTGTGGTATTCTGTGCTCCCACCATAATGGATCATTAAGCTCTGATAATACCATTTTAAGACTTCTCCAGCCTGTGTTCAGTTCACAGGAAGGAGGGGGGGGGTAGAAGGAGAGGAGGGGGGTGCCAGGGACAAAATATAAACCCCAAGAGCACATCCCCAATGACCTCCTTCCTCTAGCCACACCATACCTGCCCACAGTTACCACCCAGTTGATCCATTCAAATGGATTATCCACTGAATAGGTAACAGTTCTAATAATTTGATCATTTTACCTCTGAATGTTCATGCATTATCTCTCACATGACCTTTTGGGGGATACCTCATATCCAAACCACAATAGTTTGCATAGACCCAGAGGTTGATATTTATTAGCTATTCTTGTTTTGCTATTTTCTGGATCCAATCTCACCGAGGATTTTAGTGATTTATTATGACCTTGAATTCAGTAAAAGCCCTTCATATAGACTTGATGGTCCTCATTGTTGCCAGGAGACCCTGGCAATATGGCAGATGGAAGGCTAAGTTTGGCTTGTGGTGGATGGAATGCTAGAACTGGCACATGGCACATGGAATTCTAGGATCGGTGTGTGGTGGATGGAATGCTAGGATTGGCCCATGGCAGCTTCTCAACCAATTTTTGTTCCATAAAGTCTCATTTTAAGCAATTATGATAACGATGACAATTACATTAGTGATTATTAATAATTTCAATGACTAACCCTCCGTCTCCAAGTTAGCTAAGCTGAATTACTCTTGCCAGTGAGTACCTTTCTCTGCTCGCAATCCTCCCGAGGAAGAGCTGCAGCCCAAGTCCCTCGGCTGGCACTCACACACTGCCCCTTCTCAGCCTTCACCAGAGTCTCTTCAGCAGACTCCATTTCCTTGAATGCTGTTCCTAAGAAAAAGAGACAAAAGGTCGTATTCCCTCTGAAAACCTTGAATTTATATAAAAATCCCTCCTGCTCCCAAGACCCCCCTCCCAGGGACGCCGGCTTCCTCCCCTCTCCTTTGCTAGGCAGGCGGCACGTCATCCGTTTAGTTAATTGAGCCCTCCCTGAATTCCCATCGATGCCCATCTCACTGATGAGGAAACCCGGGCTCAGCGGCCACGGGACTTGCCCAGGCTCACCCAGGGATGCCGTGCTCGACTCCAGTGTCCGGCTTCTCTTCCCCTCCTCTTTGCTTTTATTCCTGGGCTACTTTCTGAACCTCAGTCACCTGTGGGTCTCCTTTCAATCCCCCCAGGCCCCTGTTGGAGGCACCCGTGGTCAGCCTCTGAGCCATGTCCTGGGTACCTGAGGGTCCCTCATCTGCCTTGGGCCACATCTCCTGGCTGGACAAGGGGCAGCTCTGGTGACCAGGAGCCCAAGTCAGCATGACTGAGAATCGAGCCTAAGAAATGGGCGTTTGGTCACTAGTGGACTGGGAAGGGCCCAAAGTTCTGTTTAGACCCCACTCAGAGAGTCCGTCTCCCTCTCTAGGGGAGAGAAAAGAACAAAGTGGACCTTGTTCCAGGGAAGAATCCCTGGCAGTTCCCACAGAGGCAGAGAGACTCATTTTTCTTAGGTGTGCGAAGGTCTTCGAAGAGTGAGGTAATAGGTTTCTTTATTAAAAATTAATCTTCTTGTAAAACCATTGCAATACGATGCACTTTAATAAATCACCCCACGCTTTCCAACACATTTATTATCCCTTCTCGGGAAATCATGGAGTCCAGAGAAATCGGTGCCGCTGAGCGTCTTGCTGCCGGGCTCACTAATGAACTCGGATGGGGGCAGGGGCTGAGGCCACCTCGGGTCTGAAGTCCGCCAGGCGGAGTGGATATTGCACGGAATCACAGTTGGTTCAAGTCTGTCACAGCTCTCAGGCTTACGGCTTGGGCACCGCTGGGCCGAGAAGGGCCTGTAGGTGGGACAGCAGCTCTCCCTGGCCTTGCTGGGGCTGAGGGGTCTCCAGTTCCCACGGGGGGTGCTCTGGGATGACAAGGGGTATTGATCTTGATAGGCAAACGAGGACCATCACCCATACAATGCTCCCAGAGGACGCTCTTCATCACCCGTCTCCACTTAGTCTACCTGATGCTTCGAAGGGCTGGCCTTTCTGAAGCAGGGGAGTACCCTTGTCCCCTCCCACTGTTCCTCAAAGCTCTAACCACAGCTCATCTAAGAAGCTGCCTAACTCCACTCCCTCTGGTTACAAAGCCTTCGCGGAGGCTTGGGTCTGATCAGTTGCAGTGACACAGTTCTCTCTGCAGAAGCCGCGGGACCATCTCGTCCCCTTCACCAAGGGTGCCACCTGGCCCCAAAGCCCTGCCGTTTGGGCTCCAAATCCACCTCTCATGAAAGAGGAACCTGCAGCTCCCGTCTGAAGCTCCGATGCAGTCTGACCTCTGTGTCCTCCTCTTCCTTGGGGACCCAAAGAAAAGACGTCTCCTCCCCCAGCTCTGCTCTCCCTGTGCAGACAAGCGCCCCAGCAGGAGATCCGCCCACCCACCTGCCACAAATCCCACAAAGACAGACTCCACTTTCCATCTGGGTTCAGCTGAGGATTCTCTTTCCTGTACGTCCCCCCGTCACAGCCCAGTTTTCATCTGCTGTACCCCCGGCACTTCCGGGAGCAGCCCCCTCCCTGCTGTGATCACACGTGTGAGACAGGGCAGCCTGGGGTTGGGATCCGCGTCCTTCCTCTGACCCCCCACCCCCACCCTGCTGCCATGGCTGGCTAACTCCATAGCCCTGGGCCCCAGGTGAGGCAGAACCTCATGGTGGAGGACATGGAAGAGGGAAGCAGCTCTGGACATGGCCATCAGGGAGGGGAGGGAGGGAGAAGGAGAGAGGGAGGGAGGGAGAGAGATAGACTCAGCCCAAAGCCCACCCCGTGACCCACCTGCTCCAGCCACACCCTACCTGTCTGTAGAGCACCCAGTTAATCCACATCAATGGGTTCATCCACCCATCAGGTCAGAGCTCTCATAAGCCGGTCATTTCACCTGTGAACTTCCTCTCATTGTCTCACGCGTGGCTTCTGGAGGTCACATCATATCTAAACCATAACAGGAAGTTGCCCGGCCACTCCCCAGTTTCTCTGGCTTCCTCTCTGGTGACGTAATTTCTCCCTCTCGCATGTTTTTCTGTCATTTTGATGCTACCCACCATGATGTCTCCAGCAGAGCCAAGCTGTCAGTGCTGTGCTCTGGAGCCCCCTGAATTGTGAGCCCCCAAAACCCTCTTATCTCTCTAAAGTGACTCAGCCTCAGGTATTTCATCACAGTAAACTGTTAAAATGCCTAATCCAAGGTGTAAGGAGCAGAGGTCAGACAATCATGGGTCGTATGGGCCAGTTTAAGAGTCTTAGTCTTAATGCTAAGAGCAGAGGGGTCTTTGTGGGGTTTTAAGTATAGGTAAACAAGAAAATTTAAATAACCACAATCCTCCCAGCTGATAGTGGCAACGTGTCTTCAGGATCATCACCATTGTTGGTACTTTTACCTGTTGCTGGGCTCCTTCTGGGCCAGGCCATGGTTCTGAGGCTCTGAGCTGATGCTTCCAGGCTATCTGTGACATCCTGATTCCGCTTATGAGGAAACTGAGGCTTGCAGAGGGGAAGGGACTTGCCTGCGAGGGAGAGCCTGGTTTCTGTTGTGTCCTGTTCCGCATGTGCCTCCTTAGGGGGCCCTCAGAGTCCATGTGTGACAGGACAGCATTGGGTGCTGTGTCCCCCCTGGGGGCAGGGGCATCTACAATGACCCAGGAGCCTCCTCCACTCCATGGACACCTCCACTGAGCCGGACACCCCGGCTTCCCCGGCTCTGGGCCCGTCCCTGCAGACACACCCACCTCTCGGCTGCAGTGGTCCAAGCCCACCTGCAGGTTTTCCTTGAACCATCTTCTCTTCATCAGTTTTGGAGGGAAAGCAGAGGATAAGTGAGGACTCATATTTTTGAAGGGCTGTTGGCACAGTGGGAAGAAAAGGGACAGTCCTGACCATGGGATCGAGGGACAGCCTCCGCGCGTGACCAGGGATGGAGCCGGTCTCTGCTGCCTGCAGCTCAGCCTCCTCCCCGAGAGTCAACTCCCCCGTTGGGTCCCACGGTGCCTCGCGGTGAAGAGGGCCACTGTCTCTCCCAGGCTCAGTCCACGGCCCTCCAGCCCCCAGACAGACCCCTCGGCTCATCCCTCCCGCGTTCCAACCACGCCGCGGGTGAGTCTCCCCTCAGTTCCCTCCTGAGTCCTCCTGAACCTGCTCTCCTTCTTTTGCTTCCTCCTTTGCTGGGCTCCTCCTCCACTTTCCGGCTCCCATGTCTTTATTTATTCCTGCTGCTGTAGCAAAATACCGGATGCCGGTGACAATGCACAGCAGAAGTGTGTGGCTCACCCTTCTGCAGCCTGGAAGTCCCAGGTGACGGCCCTGGCAGATCTGGTGTCTGGTGAGGGCCCACCTCCTGGCAGGTGTCTTTTTACTGTCACCTCCCACGGCAGAGGAGTCAAATAAGCCTCTGGGGTCTCTCTTCGAGGGGCATTGATCCCCTTCACATGGGCTCAGCTCTCTGAGTCACTTCCTGTAGGCCCCACCTCCAAACGCCACCACTTTGGGGTCAGGACTTGAACCCACGGATTTTGGTGGAGACAGAACATTCAGATGGTAGCCCCCGGCACTTCAGCCATCTCTTCCTACGAGGCCCCTCTGTGTCCAGCCATGCTGTGCCTCTGCCCCAGAGTGGCCCTCGAGAAGCGTGAACATCGGCCACATCCCTCTTGGAAACTCCATAGAGTCTCCGCGTCACCTGCGGGAGGCCGTGCAGTCCCTGCACCTCCGCCTGCAGGGTTCTCTGTGGGCCAGATCGTCCCACCACAGCGCCATCTTCTCCCGTCCGCCCTCCTCGGCCACACGCTCACCAGCCGTCTCCTGTCAGCCTCCGCAGCACCTCCAGCCTCCGTCTCTGTTGGAGGCCCGATCCCTCCTCCCCTTCGGGGGTGAATTCCTGCACGTCCTTTAGTCCTTTAAAGCTCGGCCCTAATGTCCCCAACAAATATTTCCTAGCATTTTCTTGATGTGTCCTAGACAGGTCCTGGAGTCACAGAAGTGACTAATGAGTGCTCTCTGCAGTGAGGACCTGACCTCTGACCTTCAGTACCACCTCCTCTTTACCCGTTGCTCACCTCCTCTAGAGCAGGTTGGCCTTTGGGCTAATTTCTCTTAGAATGTCACCCTTTGAAATAACTTGTTCAAGAGCCCGTGTCCTCCTCCAGACCAGGAGCTCAGGCGAGGAGCGATGACAGCCTGGACTCAGGTCACTGTCCCGGGGGCTCCCTGTGCGGGAATCCTGCTCCTGCACCTGGCTCCCTCTTTTGCCTGCAGGGTTTCCCCAACTCGAGGCAGGGTGGCTATTAACCCAGTGTTATCAGCGGTCAGCTACCTATGTGGTCCCTTCTCTTGACCACTAGCCCGGAAGGTCTCCATCAGCTGTGCCTTCTGTCCCTTGCGTGGTGCTGAGCACAGATGTTGCCTGGAGGAATCTGCCTGTGGTATAAAGCCAAGAGTTGGAGAGTCCGGAGCACAGGGCTCCAGGAAGAGGTGCGGGGGAGGCAGGCAGCCCCGAGCTGACCCTGCTCAGGAGGGGCGTTGTTCACCACCTGCCACCTTGCAGGAAAGGAGCACAGCCACCCTTTGTTCCCTAAGCCCAGTTCACTTCTTCTGGACCCCTCCTGTGAGCTCTCTGGTCCCTTGTCAGAGGGCACCAGCTTGGTGGGGAGGGGTGCTCTCCTGGCGGAAAGGTATGAAATCATTGCTCTGAAGACTGTCTCTGCACCCTCCTGAGTCATTGTGAAGTGACTCACTCTGGTGGCGTCTTGGGTCCTGTGCTCCCCCCGACTGGCAGGGGTTTAAGTGGATCAGACAGTTAAACCATCCAGTCTAGATCCAGCCCTCGCCTTGACAGCACTTTCTTAATCAGAGGAAACCTTGCTCTTCCCCTTGGTTGACGCTTCCCCCAAACTCTGGCCCACCTATTTAAGGTGGTCCGCTTCCTGGTGCCCACCCGCGAGCCCACCTTCCCTGGGAGCACAGCAAGGACACTGGAGGCCTGTCCCTGCAAAGCCTAGGTAGGTAGAGGTCCCAACACGTACTTTAGGGAGCAAGGTAGCCGGGTTCAGAATGCTCCAACCGCTTTCCACGAGAGGAGGGGTTCTCCTGGCCCCGCAGGTCCCTGCTGGTTCTAAGGACCAGGGAGGGATCCTCTGCGGTGACAGGTGAGGGAGAAGGGCTGTGCAGGAGGAAGAGGCTGCATCTCTCCTCCCCAAGGGTGTCACTCAGTGGCACAGAGATGGTCTGTCTCCCTCCCTGACTGGCAGAGCAAGTGCCAGGCAGCATCCCAGGGCCCAGAGCACAGGCCACCCCTGTCTCCACTGGTCTCAGACAATCCAGGGCACATTCTCGGGGCCTTGCAGCACCCCCTCCGCTTGAGGGGGCTGCGGGGTGACCTCGGGCTGGTCAGCAGCTCTCCAGGGTGATTGACATATGCAATTTCTCTCCTCCTGTCTGGCAGAGGTGTAGAGGGAAAATTGGATGTTGTTGAATAATTGAAAATGAAAATCCCTCCGAATTGATTCCTATGAAAACAAGATTGAGTTCCACAATTAGGCGCCCGCCTTCGCAGGGCATCTGAGGCCTCTGTCCTCCCAGGCTGTGGGCTTGGATGGTGCTGTCTCGGGGTCTTGGAGCAGCTGCTGGTGATGGAACGCAAAGCCAGCGGGTTCCCGAGGCCCTCGGCTCTTGCACAGGCTGGGCCGGGCGATGCAGCCTTCCACGCACTTCCCCAGGGGACCCCAGGGTCACTGCCTGAGGTCTGGGGTGGGCCCTGCCCCGCTGCCTCCTCACTGAGCGCTTTGGCAGGAAGGTCCCGCTGCGGTTGCTGACTTAGCCTTCCCCTCCGTGGCCCGTGGAGCGGGGCTGGGAGATCGGAGGCATCGGCCACTCTGGTGGAATGCCTGGACTCGGGGGCCAGGTTCACGCCCCAGCCCCCCCACGCGGGCTGAGACCTGTGGGTGTCCCTTCTTTACACGCAGTATGGTGATGCCAGCCAGCAGTGGAGGGGAGGCGTGGGTGACACAGGACCCCTGCCCCAGGAGCCCGGCACTGCAGACCCCTCCACACCCAGCCATTGGCCGAGCCCAGCTCCACACCTCTCCTGGGCGGTCAGCCCTTGCTAGAGCAGGGGGACATCATACCATAGGATGGGAGGAAAGATCTGGATCAGCTCCCGAGGTTTTACCTGGAGCTCAGGGATGGAGGTCAGGGGGTCTGTGAACTTGGATAGGAAAAACTACATCACTGTCTCTTGAAGGGCTGCATTTTATTTTCATGGTAAAAAAAAAAAACAGATAACATGAAACTTAGTGTATCAACCAACTCACTGTGGAGTTCAAGGACATTGAGTACGTTCACGTTGTGCAGCCTTCACCCGCATCAGGTCCCAAAGCCTTTTTGTCACCCTGAATGGAAACCCACAGCCACTAAGCAGTCACTCATGTCCCCTCCTTCCTTCTGCACCTTGCTCAACCTTGACCTGAAATCCACTGTGCTCCTCAAGTAGCAGGGCCTCTGCTTTGTCACCAGAGACATCTCAGATACTTTCATGCCATGTTACTGCGTGACAACTACCTGGAAAGTCTTTTATGCTGGACTCGGCCAGTGTTTCTGTCCAGGGCCAGCTAGTGGATGTTCTGGGTGTTTTGGCCCACATGGTCACCCTCCCAACTGCTCAGCTCTGCCATTTAGTGTGAAGGCAGTTACCGGCACGTTAAGCAAGTCGAGGGGCTGGTTTCAACAAAGCTTGGTTTCCAGAGCAGATGGGGGGCCATGTGGGCCGCAGGACGTGGCCTCCTGACCTCTGCTACAGGTTGGTCTCCACACTGAGGTTCCTCGTAGTTAATGGACCTGCCGCTGGACGTGTTGTAAACATGTATGTTGCTCTGTCCCACGCTCCTGTATTTACAGTGAGCTCTCTTCACGGTCCCACACGTTACTTACGTGTTCATAAATGAGGTTCTGGGAAGTGGCGGGTAGTGCTCTCCTAAATCCCAACGGGCTCCACTGAGGGAGCAGGCGCAGAGGCCCTGTGAGCAGATGGTCACTGGCGACACTCCAGAGTGGCTGCCCGCTCTGCCTGCCACCTCCAGGACACAGTGCTCACTGCCTCCCGGGGAAGCCGTGTCTTTGTGGGCACCTCTGACTCCAAGGAAGTTCTTCCTCTGGTCTAGCCCCCGCTGTTTCTCTTTCCCATGTTGGTCACGGTTCCCGTTTCCTACTCCTTGGGGGGTACGGAGAGCAGCGTGCACGCCGCACTCACCCCAAGAGTGCTCCCCCTCTAGACCAAGAGTCAACGTGCTTTTCCTGAAAAGGGCCAGGCGCTAACCTGACCACCCGCCTCATACCGTCTGGCTAAAGGACTTGACTCCCCTGCGGTGTGAAAGTGATCCTGCCGGTTACCCGTGAGGAGTCCTGCTCCCTCGCACGTTGAAGTTTGAACGTTAGAGGAGCACGCCAAGGCAAGGATATAAGGAAGGGTTTAATTAAGAGGGGGAGAAGGTGACCATAGTTGGCCATATTCTTGTGAATGCATGTCAGTGGGTCTATATTGTTCTTTCTCCTTTCCCTCCACCATCCACTCATCTATCCATCCACCCACCTATCTATAGACCTATGTGCTCATCCACGCAACCACCCATCCATCAACCCATTTATCCACCAACCCATTCATCCACCCATAATCCATCCAATCCACTGTCCATCCGCCTATCAATATACCTATCCATCCATCAACCCATCCATCCATCCATCCACCCACTCACCCATTCATCTACCTATAATCCATCCAATCCCCTGTCCATCCGCCTATCAATATACCTATCCATCCATCAACCCATCCATCCATCCACCCACTCACCCACCCATTCATCTACCTATAATCCATCCAATCCCCTGTCCATCCACCTATCAATATACCTATCCATCCATCAACCCATCTGTCCACCTGCCCATCAATCCGCCCACCCACCATCCATCCATCCATCCATCAATACAATCATCTATCCACCCGACATCCATTCATCCTCTTTACCTGTTTATCGACCTATCCATCTACCCATTCATGTTCTGGAAAGAGTCATTTAAACCCACATATAAACAGTTTATGGTTACCACCCCTGGTAAGGCTAAGAGTGA